CGGGCTGTTTCGCCACCTTGAACTGCTGCCCTCTGCCATTGCGTCAGCTTGGCTGAATCAGCTCCGGCGCTCCGGGCATGGGGCCCCCACCCTGCAGGCGGGCAGGGCCCAACCTGGGGCACCATTGGTTCCACCCTGGGGCGCCAGTGAGCTGGCACTGGGGTGCGATTGGATCCACCTTGGGGCGCTATTGGGCCCGCCCTGGGGTGCGATTGGTTCCACCCTAGGGCCACGGGCCGCCCCAGAGTGGCTCAGCTCAAAAAGTGGATATAAAGGAGTTGAGGAAGGCTTCGCTGCCGCCCTGCCCCGCTTCCTCGGAGAAGTGCCAGGCTTCGGAGGAGCTTGATCTTCACAGCGGAGCGCTGGTCTTTGCAGCCAGTGTACAAGAAAGAGAGGCTTGGTGGGCGCCGCGGCGGCTGCTCCTCCTCTGCTCTTCATTGTTTTCTGCCGCCTTGAACTGCTGTTGTTTGCCCTGGAGCCAGCGGAGTACGACTGACCTCCACAGACTGTGAGCTACATAAACCTCCCCTTCCTTCATCTTGAGTGTCGGGCATTTGCCCCAGCAACGGGTACAAAGTAACTAAGACAGCCCTGCACCACCCTGCCTCGGAGAGAGCCAAAAGTGGGGACTGAAACCTCCACAGCTGTGAGCTGAATAAACCTTTCCTTCCTTAAGTTTGGGTGGGTGTTTGTTCCAGCACGGACAGAAAAGTAACTATCGTGGTTGATACGGTGTGAACTTGAGAAGCTAAAAGTTTACACAGGCTCAGCAATTCTGCGCCCTGGGACGAGGCGGCCCCTCCCTGGGCATGGAGGGAGCACCCTAGAGTCACTCAGCTCCAAGAGGATATGAAAAGGGAACTGAGGAAAGATAGAGCTTGCGGCTGCCTTGGGGGAGCCCCAGTGTGGAAGGGAGGCTTGCCAGAGCCCAGCTGCGCCTCCTCCCTTGCTCTCTGCTGCTTTCTGCTCCCTTCCATGTGCCGCCCTGCCTTGGAGCCAGCAGGGTGTGGGCTGAAACCTCCGCTAACTGTGAGCTAAGTAAGCCTTTCCTTCCTTAAATGTGGGTGTCAGGTGTTTTGTCCAGCAATGAGTGAAATGTAACCGAGACGGTCACCCTCTGGGCCCATCGGTCTTGAAGATGAGACTGGTCCCTGCCCACACCTCCCAGGAGCGATGCCAGCGCCCTCCATTCCAAAAGCAGCTGGAGGCCAGCCCAGACGTGATCGAAAACCACAGGCTGCGTGGCGCCCAGGATACCACGTGGAGACCTGTACTGTCGCTCTACACACCTGTAAAGAGGCAGCAACTGGAGCTCAACAGACTCACATAGAACCAGAGTGAAGACAGGGTCAAAAGAGTGACCTGCTTCACTGATGGGAGAGGACAGGGTAAAATCATGTGCAAGCAAGCCTGAGAGAATTTGTCGCTGTGCATCCTCTGTACAGAAACACTAAAAGAAGTTCTTTAGGATGAAGGAATACTATCCCAAGTGGAAAAACACAGTTGCAAGGAAAAGCAGCACACAAAAGGCCAATTCAAACAACTACTCATTTCATGAGGCATCAGTGAAACAATGCTTTGAGTGTTGTAAAGTAGACAGACCAAAAAAAAAAAAAGACAAAAGTAGCCAAAATGGCAGAAAGAGAATTGTTACTAAAAATCATTACTATTAGAGATATACAAACGAAAAAAAAAACTGTGACACACTTATTGAATGGCTGCAGATTAAAGGCTGGCAGTGCCACTAGCGGTCCCCTCCAGGGAGTGGTGGCACTGCCTCACACATGGACAGCAGGGTGCGTGCACTCAGCCAGGAGCTTGTGGTGTCTGTTACAGCACAGTACGCGCCCCTTGTGTCAGAGCAGGGCACGCAGCCGCCAAGGCACACACTCGGGAGGGGATGTTCAAGAGACCGCTGGGCTGTAACAGGAGGCGTCTGTGCCAGGCTGTAGGATGTGCTGCACCTCAAGAAAACTAAGATCGCAAAATTTAACAATGATTAGGTCAGTGAATCTCTAATAAACAAAGAGAGCTTTAAGCAAACAATATGAAGATAGGAAACAACAAATGGCTTAAACACAAGAAAATATGTTCAACTTCATTCAAGTTAAAATTAAAGAATCCAAAGTGTATTTTCATCAATTTTAGTCTTTTTGTCTGTCTGTCTGTTTCTCTGTCTCTGTCTGTCTGTCTGTCTGTCTCTCTCTCTCTCTCTCTCTCTCTCTCTCTCTCTCTCTCTCTCTCAGGATCAGCTGTTGAACTGCAGGGCCTTTTTAATATTTTTTGTTTTGAGACAACTTCTTACTAAGTTGCTAAATTGACCAGACTGGCCTCAAATTTGTGATCTTCCTGCCTCAACTTCTGATAAAGCTAGGATTGTAGGTGTGTAGCACTGTGTGTGGCTTGAGTTGGTTTCTTACCTTTGCAACCAAGAGTCTTGACAAGTATTTGTACAAAGTGTGCCCAAGACATAATTATGTCTGGAATGCATATGTTAGTATTATTCACAAAAATAAGAAATTAGAAATAAGTTCACCAATCCTGAATTGTTAAATCATTGTTGTTTGGTAAGTGGAATATGATGTGACTATTAAAAATATTGAAGTAGGTACATTTAATACGTTATATAAAAAACTCATCAAGATACATTATGGGAAAAGAATTACTTGCATAATCAGCAGAACACTATCTCAATAATGCACATTTTTAGAAAGCTGTAGTAGGATCTTAACAAAGGTTATCTTGGGCGATCGTGCTGCGACGGGGAGTGGCGGAAGACTCACCTGGGAGTCTATGTTCCGACATACTGTTGGAAAATTGTCTTGTGTGTGTTGTTTTAGTTACACTTTAAAATTAAAAAAGAAGAAAGATGGTAAGACTGAAGTAACGCACACAGTGGCGGCTCACTGAAGCCTCGCAGTCAACATGGGTGCTCTCGGGTCGCAACCAATCCAGGCTTGCTCAAGAGACAGAGAATCAAATTAAAGAGCCCTTGATCACAGCGATCTTCGTGGTGGCGCACAGGAGCGCTCTTCCACGCGAGCGGCGGCGCGAGCCTCCGCCCAGAACGTCTGCGATGGCTTCCCAACGCGAGGGGACCCGCTGCAGGAACTTTGAGGACACAGTCAAGGGACAGCGGTGAAGGAGAGTTTTATGAGTTCTTTACGCAAACTACAAGGATTACTTCTTCATACAGGTGGATAAAAGAACCCTAAAATAAACTCATAGTAATTCTATTTGGACCTTCAGTTCCCAAAATAGTAACGTTGCGCATGATTCACAAGGATGAAAGGGGGAGATATCTGGTCATCCAAAATTTTATGAATCTGAGTATATGAACAAGAAACCCGCCAGTTCACAGACCAACCAGGGACGCAGATCACAGCACTGACGTAACGTTTACTTCCCTACCTGCTGACCACGCAGGAAGTTCCCTGCTCGCCAAATACTCCAAGACAAATTTCTTTTTCTTTTTGAAGTAAAATTTTTTTTTAACTTTTATTTTCAAAGACAGATTTCAAAAGTATGGTGCTACAGTATGTGTCTGTAACTACAAAACGAAGTCTTGCAAATTCATTCTCCAGATTTTTTTGAATAAATGTGTTAGTTAAAATAATCTCTCCGAGGTCCTCATAAAATTAAACTTAATATTTAATGCCATTCATCTTAATCACAATTAATTTTGAAAAGCAGACATTTTCAGATGCTTTCTAAAATAAAACTTAATAAACTTTGTATAAAAATAATTCATTCAATATAAAACTCTAAGGGGTCCCTTCTTGAAACGTGGGTCACAGTGCCTCCAGCCTCGCACGCCTTTGTGTTTTCAGCTGCCGCGCACGCAGCGAGGGGCAGACGCGCTTCACTATTGGAAGCTAGCGAAGTGAAATCAGCGGTCCCCCGCTCTCTGGCGAGCGACTCTTCATGTTCTCCGTAGCCACACTTACCTTTTTATTTCAAGTGTAACTTAGCTCGATCACTGTAGCATGGACAATTTTATCTTTTTTTTTTTTTTTTAATTTGGTACAGGGTCTCACTACCTTGGACTCAGTGATCCTCCTCTCAGCTCCCCAGCTCTGGGATTACAGGCGTGCGCCGCCGCCACCACCACCGCGGCTGGTCTCGGTGGCCGGCACTGCACCCCTGGGGTTCAGGGCCCTCACGCATGCAGTACGCAGGATCAAACCCTGCTCCTTGCACTTGCGCTTAGACTGCTGAGCTATCTCCCCAACCCAGGCAAGGACAATTTTAATTTGGTGTTTTAAAATTTGAGAAAGAGTATCCTCAGCAATGAATGTTGCACAAGAGTTTCTGAAAGTGACCTCAAGCTGACCCTTGGAAGGCAGACCGCAGGAGACACTTCACTCTCAGACCCCTGGAAGTGGTGTACTGAGACCTTCTGTGTCCACCTCCGCTTGAACTTGCTGGCTGCGATGGCTCCGGCTCCGCATGGGCCTCAACGCACCCTCCTGGCCCTCACAGCCACGGGAACCGGGAACGTTCTTAGCCTCTGGCAGTTGGTATCAACATTGCCAAAGGAAATTGTGGTCAATTCATTTGATATTTGGAAAGAGAGTTGGTGGTTTGTTTTTTAATCATTTATTTATTTGTTTGCTTGGTACAGGGTCTTTCGCAGCTCAGACTCATAGTGATCCTCCTCTCTGAGCCTCCGCAGCTCTGGCATTACAGGTATGCGCCACCATGCCGGGTATTGGTGGCCAGCGCAGCATGTGGGACCAAGGATCAAACCCAGGTCCTTGTGCTTGCCAGGCAGGCGCTTAGACCGCCGAACAATCTCCCTAACCCCAGGTTTAAAGACAAAAAAAGACAACAAAAAGAGTTCCTTAGCTGGGACTAAAACCCTTTACTCCAAGTCCAGCATCTCCCTGGACCCTCATCCAGTTCCTTTCAGTATTTGAAGACTAAACTTAAGAAGGACAGGCGTCTGTCCCTCGCCACCCTGCCAACCGGTAACTCACCTCCACTTGGGCACAGGATTCCTCCAGAAGGCCCTACTCTGGGAAGTGTGCCTCGGGGTTTTTCTAATCTTTGAAATTCAGGATTTCAAGCCGGGAAACATACAATTGTGTAAATCCTGACCCATAACTTAACTTTAAACAATTTGTACTTGAAGTTGTGATTTAAATGATTAATTTCTGAGTCTGTCATACAGTTCAGATTTAAAAAGACTGATTAGAAGCTTACATTACCATTAAAGGTTTTTAAATTAAATTAAAAATAAGTTTCAGATTTATTATAAGTTTAAAAGCCCAAAGATTGTATTTAACTCCTTGCCTCCTAAATTATGTTTATAGAAGACCTGGGAAGAAAAGGTGGGTATCTCACTATTCTAAAGTATAAGACACTCTAAATTGTCCCTAAATTTTTTAGAATAATCCACGATTTAACAGCTGATAGTGTTCTCCGGGACCAAATAAAACACTGTAATTGTGACGTAATCTTTTCTCACCCACCAACTCTGTGACGTGAGTCAAATGACTTAATCTCCTAATCCTTAAAAGGAATCTAAGAGTGACAAATGCCTGGTACAGTTATTGCAGTAAATGACTTACAGTATCAGCACAGTGACTGGTTCCTATAAAGAGTGAGTGCTCAGAAAGTGAGTAAAAAAATAGTTTATGTGCAAGTGGAGAAGGGGACAAACAACAGTGGGTCACCACACTCAGAGACAGGGACATCTGGCCATGGAACTAGATCATGCAATGGCCCTTTTAGCATACTGCAGAGAGAAAAAGTATGACTGGCTTGTGTCATCCTCAGAATCCTGCTCGCGGGCGCTGCTGTTCCAGTGGATGATCTCCTGTGGTTCGCGCCTCAGGCGTGGCGCATGGCCACTGGCCACAGTGGCTGTCTTCAGGGCGGCCACCTCTTAAGCCAGGGCTCACCGCTCTACGCTCATCACTCATTAAATGCCTACTTCACATCACAGTCAGGTAACAAAAATACAAACACATCACAGACTTCCAAAATGTGCACGGGTGCCTGGATGGAGTACAAGTCCCTACGTGTATGAACCAGGAACACAGACAACTCAAGGGGAATCACCCTCAAGACAACAGTGGTATCTCAGAGGTTAATTTGAAACCTTCTTTTAAAGATGATGCTGTAATAGAGAATGTTCATTTTTCTAAACAGGTCTCAGGTTCTCAGAAGGAGGTGCTCGCTGGGTGTATTTCGGGCTAGAATGAGGCTTCCCCACAGTAGAACACGAATCGGCTCCTTGGAGCAGTCCGTTAACTGGGCTTGGCTCACGAAGGCTTTCTCACGTTTCTTTTCTTTTCTCCTTTTTTAAAATTTTTTATTTATTTATTTATTTTGGTCTCTCTTCCTGATCAATGTCAGACAGACAATTTTCTCTCTCCCCTGTCCACAGCTGTAAAGGAATCCACGTCCCTTCCTGTGACCCATCAGAGCACAAACCTGAAGATCTCCTGAAGGGACTCACACGGTCAGGTCACACATCTTGTTTTCCATGATCTTATGAGTCTGAGTAGAACAAGTCTGAAACTGGGGCATGTAAGATACAAAAGCCTTCTTACCAGATGCTCCCAAGTTGAAATTACTTTCCACCAAGTGTGAGCAGCTGTCCTGGAGGATCCTGAGATCAGTAAATAAACAGTGGGGCGGAAACCGGCACAGTACTTCCGATTCCTCAGGCAAAAGCACACCACTCTCTCTCTTTTTGACCGAGGTGACCTCTAAATAATAAACAGACTTCTCACTCTGGTTTTTTTCAGGGAAACTTCCCGTCAACTCCAAAAGTTCATCCAGTCCTTCTGAGAAGGAAAGCTGCGGCGAAGTCACGTCAGGCTGCTGATCTGACAATATGAAAGCTGCCTCGGTATCCATCTCCCAGGAGCTATTGGAGATGGAATCTTTGAGGGGAGAACTTCTGCCGGAGCCCCCCTCACCCGGGGAGCTGTGACCGGGCCCTGGTGCTTCAGACGCTTCAGACTTGGAGTTGCTGAGCAGCGTGGCATACTTAACCGAGGGCTGGCGTGGGCTCTCGTCCTCCCAGCTCACCTCAGTGCTCGTCCTGTCAGAGAAGGGAGGGCTGTCACACTGGTCACTCATGCCGAGGGAGCCGTTTTCAGGGTCAGGCGCTGTTACAAGCAGGGACACTAACGCTGCTGGCTCTGCGTCTTCTTTAGTTTTCCATGCTGTGTCCACACTGATGTCTTCTGAAATGGTCTCGGGCTCCAAAAGAAGAGGACCAAAGGCCACCGAGCCTGCATGCTTGGTGAAAAGATGCTCAAATGTTTCAGGCTACAAAAAAAGACATATTTTAATGCTAGATTATGTTAATACTTTTACTCCCTGATGCCAAGCTTGCAGAAACACAAGCATGGATAGTTAATAGGCAGAGGCATAATCTGCCACACATTTTACCATAATTCAACTTCAAATATTTTAGGACTAAAATATATCAAAATCATAAGAGAGGGGAGCTTGAGAATGGGATGAAACGGACTCGGGCTTGAGTTCTTCTAATCCTGTGAGCATGAACGAGGACATTAACCTTTCTGCCTTTCACTTACTTTGTCTGTAAAATACCAAGTGTTCAACACTCACTTCTTGGGGGTGTGGTTAGGAACAGGGCAGTGTCTGTTGGTGCTTAGCCCCCTGTAAGCCATCGTGACACTAACTGGAGCATGTCATCCTCTGAAGCATCCCTTGTGCTTGGCAGTAAGTTACATACCTACAAACAAAATTTAAGCCCCAACTAGAGAAAATAAACTGCAATAAAATCAAATGAGCAAAATGTGTCTCAAGTTACTTAAAATAATGATTCTATGACATAAGACATGATACAAAGATAAAATAATTGTGGCTATGAGAATTGCTGGAGGCCCTTAGAAAATAAGAGCTAATGATGCTTATTTATTGAAAACAATGATGATGAAAAACAGTAACAGACTTGTAAATGACTACTTCTTATACATAATTTCATATAAAAATGTATATGATAGATATGGAATGAAGACAAATACACGAGACAAATGCACATCATAGTTTTATAGTAAGGATGATTACACCACAACAAAAATCGTACAAAGCAGATACAAATCAAGAATCTATATGCAAAAAGCTCAATTCATACAATGTGGACATACTGAAAAGATAAACGCATAATGAAAAACACCATGGATACATCACATTGGCAAACTGGCACAACCGAATGAAGTGCTATATGTTATATACCACGCATGTTACTGAACTTTGGAATTGTACATTTTCTTTTTTTCTTTTTTTTTGTTTTTGTTTTTGTTTTTGTTTTTTGGCAGAACCGGGGATTGAACTCAGACCCTCGCACTTGCTAGGGAAATGCTTATTCCACTGAGCCATCTCCCCGCACCCTGGAATTTTACATTTTCTAAATGAATAGGTCTGCCTAAGCTGTGGCATGCCCAGCTGCTCTTCACAATGGCAGGGGTTTCCATATAAAAATACAAAATTTTAGCACATGTTCAAACTCTTAAGTGAAACACATTAGTAGTTAAAGCTGTGAATGAATAAATGTATCCAACAATATAGTAATATTGGAATAAACTAAAAAAAAGATATAAAAATACTGCATAATGACAAATACCGTGCTAATGAAACTTTTTCTGTTATTCTACCAACATGATATAAGAAGAAAAGATATCTCATGTTTCCTTTCTTTCTGACAGGAACCTGTAGATTTGTGATTTCCTTCAAACATTTACTTGGCCATTCCACTCTTTTCTAAAGGTTTCGTGAATGTTTGTGCATGTGTATGTGCGTGCATGCAATGAACTGTTTTTAAATTTAAATACACTTGGAAATTAAGAAGAAACTAGATGCTATCGATATGGAAGCAAGAAATAACCCACAGCATGCGGTCATTCTCAAATGTGTCCCTCAAGTGCATTCCTGTTTGAGATAGTTACTGTTTCCTAAAACTTCATGTCAGGTAACTCACTATTGTTGAAACCAAAATTGTAGATGCATACATTATTGAGGCATATGACACATAAAGCTTTACTAAAAGTATGTTTGGTTAACGTTCTGTCACAAATATCAAACATTTTGAGATTTTAGAGCAGTCTAGGCACATATGAAATATGTACTCAGCTGGCCGGAATTAAATTATCTGTTCATAATTTTGCACTTCAATGCTGCACTTCAAGGACATCTGTTAATGATCAGTGAAGGAGGGAAAAGACACGTTCTTCCTGCTCTCTTCCAGTTTTAAGACACACTAGTAACGCTACAAGTAAAATCTCAATACAAGTAATCCATAGGTAGCTAAGCGTGGCTATTCCTTGGGTTCATTCCTGAACTCTCTGGCTTAGTTTGTCAACAACTGAGCATGCGTAGGATACTAAACTCACAGAACTGGCAAGTGATCTGTTTTCAGGTTTTTAAAAAAATGTCCATCCTCACCACGAACTATTCGAGACGCTCCAGAGAGTCTTTCTTTGCATCACAGCGCATATCCCCGCCTACCAGAAGTCTGGGGCAATTCCATGGAAAGACATTAGACTTAGGCAAGAATTAGGGGAGAAACTGCACCAGAAGTGTGTGTTCTTTCCAATCTGGGCATTCCAACCTGGCTGGGTAGGGCTATCCTGTCGTGAACTGTAATTTCCACTGGTCTGCGACCTGCACAAATCCCATCTTCCGGCTTTCTCTGGGCCGCACTGAAGTTAGCACATGACACATCACCAGGGCCATCGAAAACTGAGATTCTCAGATTGGCCAAAGTTAGAAGTACAAAAGCTACCAGACATTCAAAAGAGCAGCCAAACAGGCTAATGCATAGGCTCAGTGTCTAGCGGGAAATCTCAAGTGAAAAATTCAAGACATAAAAACATAAGCTAGTGCTTTGTAGGCACAGACCTTGTGTTTGCAAAGCTGTGAGAAGGTGTGGCTGTACTGGACGCTTAGTCTCAACGTCATCTACTAGATACATGATGGCATCCGGTAGCTATGTTCTAATATATAGTCATAATTTTTGGTTTTATGACTATGAAAATGACACATAACAAGCCAGAAATCATGAATATTACTTTTAAACTTTAGATGACCTGAAAATCACTAATCCAAACTGACGTGGATTCAATCCTGTACTATGACCCAGATTTACACATCTATATTAAACCTTAAACAAACATAATCCACCATATGTTAGTTCTCAATTGTTCAACTGAATCATTTTTTAGATTTGTTCCCCTTCTTCCAAATGTAAAAATCTTCTAATATCCTATAAACTGTTGGGAAGTTGGCACATGGCGTTCAGCAGCAGTGGTCATGATTAGACTTCAAAGAATGTCCGTTCTCTGTTTAGATAAAATAAAACAAAATAAGAAAGCGAAACAAAAGGTCACACAGGACAGAAAGGGTGAAAGATTTCAAAACATTTTCTGTTGCGCATGGCCCTGGACTCTGTGTGAAGTTCTTGTGTCACGCTACCCTTGGGCACCAGCCCAGGAAAGGAAAAACATTAAACTCAAGTAGGAAATTTTGGATTTTAAAAATGTGTGCCTTAATGCCATACTGTAAAGATAAACTTAATTACCCAGCAGAAGGAAAAACTGGCCAAGAAAAACAGCAAAGGGGAAAAGGGGAAATCAAGGAGCTGGGAAAGTGGGTGTGGGAGACGCAGCACAGCAAGACTGGGGTGTTGGGAAGAAGAGGAAGAAACGAACAGCGAGGAGAAAAGTTTGAAAATGAGGAGAAGGAAATACGAAGACAGGGAAGAAGAGGGCCGCAGACCCTTTGCTGTGGGGTGTTTTCCCATGTAGAACAGAAAGGTCTAATGAAAGATGGATGCCTGTGAAGTTATTTGGTTGAGATTACACAGCTGATTGGGGCAGAGTGAGGACTCTGACTTGGCTCTTCCTTTTTCTGTTCTGACTATTTCTAAAGCTCGGGGAAAGAGGAAAGAAGTCCCAAACACAAAATTTAGGCAAGAGTATGTTGTATTTCTTTTCTACTTGCTCCGATGGAATTGAGCTGATTAAATCATATTTTCTCTGGTTCTTTATGACCTGGGGGGTATAAGGAATAAGAAATAACAAAACTGAAATGACAGTTGAGGGTAGATGCTTACATGCCCAGTAGATCTACACTCTAGGGCCCAGTAGAGATCACTTCTTCTAAACAGAACATCTAACTCGAAAGGTCACCAGGTCTTCCACATTTACAAGGACAATCTTGGGACTTTGGACACAGTTCTGACTGAGATCTATGTGACAGTGCTCTGGACATGGACAGTTGGTGAGCTCTTTCTTTGAAAACCTGTAGCTGACTGCTAAATAACCCAGGAGAGTCGTTCGAGCCCAGGAAAATTCCACCTGGCTTTAGTCTTGTGTAGCACCCTTCAATTAAATTATTAAAGACACCCTTAGAAAACCTGTCAGAAATGCAGACAAAAGAACAGAGCTGAGCCAGGGAAAAATAAGAGAAAATATTGGGAAATAAACTTTAAATTGCAAAAGAATGAAATGAATTAAAGTTAAATCAAGAGTCTCAAAATATCTCTAAGGGAAAAGCTTCAGATGTTTTGGATTTAGGAGAAAAAAAATCATCAGTTAGGCCAAAATGCTAAAGAACAAAGGCACAAACTAAATTGAGAAAGGTTTGTCATCTTTTATGCTGTGAAATTTGAATTACAAGAAAAGCAAGGCTATTGAGTCCCTGTGGTATATTTTCCCTCACCGAAAACTCAGTCCTTATTTAAGATTCTGATCTCTAAATGTAGAGACGCTGTGTGAAGAAGGATTCCAGTTCAGAAGGACAGACTGAACACATCTGCCTCTCCTCTCTAGATCCTGCTAGGGTGCACGTATGTGACTGAATCAAACGCAGAGCCACAGTGAAAAGGGTGACCTGAGAAGGGGGACAGGGAACGAGTCAGCTTTATTTTTCTAATGATGGAAATTTTATGACCTTTAATTAATTATTTTTCATGTATTTAGTACAGGGCCCACAGGGTCTCACTACGCAGATCAGAGTCGTAGTGATTCCGTTTCCAGCCTCCCAAACGCTGGGATTACAGCGCACACCACCATACTCCATCTCATTTGCTGTCTCAGTGCGCCCCGAGGGCAGGGCCAGCACTGCAGGCCGGGGATTGAGCCCTGGTCCCCGCGTGTGCCTGAGCAGAGACCTTTAATTTATGTAAACTTGCGCACCACACGAGGAAACACCTGCTTCGAGGCCCTGTTCTCACGCTGGAACACAGGAGGGAGCCAGGGAATCACACCGCTGAGCTGTGTTTCTACCTTTACATTAGAAAAGAAGCAAGAGGAGTACTCTTAACTCATTTGTAAAAGATGGAAGGCCAGAAGGGCCGAGCTAGACCAAAAATAAGGCAGGCAGCTGAAGAGCAGGGCAGCTCCGGGGAGGTGTGGCAGCGCAGGAAGCCCGCGAGTCCTGCCCAGCACAGAGCCGCAGACGAGGAAACGGAGGTGAAACAGGAGGAAGGGGGCCCCCGACTGGAAACCGGGGCGGGCTGGGCACCCTGCCTATGGCGGAGCTCTGCACACTCCGCTGAACCCCGAGGCGCCTTTGTGTACAGACCGCTCCCACGCTGAAGGCCGGAGGGCTGGTTCCCCAAAGCAGGGAGAAAGAGGGGCACTCTCCAAAGAATTGCTCTCTCAGGGCACACCTTTATGCGTCAGGGTAGAGCCCCGGCTACTCACCTGCGACTGTCTCTGTCTATGCGTCCCAGGCTCTCAGACAACCTGTCTACGACTTTGTCCCAGTAACAACAAAGGGTAAAGACTGCCTGATATTTGGAGGACCAAGATTTAAAAGAAGAAGAAGGGGGCTGGAGATATTGCTCAGTGTCATAAGCGCCTGCTGGCAAGCACAAGTCCCAAGTTCAATCCCCAGTGAAGGAGGAGGAGGAGGAGGAGGAGGGAAAGAGGAAGAGGAGGAAGAGGAAGAGGAGGAGAGGAAGAGGAAGAGGAGGAAGAGGAAGAGGAGGAGAGGAAGAGGAAGAGGAGGAAGAGGAAGAGGAGGAGGAGGAAAAGGAGGGAGAAAGAAAGACAGAAAGAAAGAAAAAAGACGGTCTCAGAATGCAACCTTTCCTGAGGTCACTCCTAGGAAGGATGTGGTTAAGAAAGATAAAGAAAAGGATGCTGGGAAGCAGTAATGATTAGAAGCAAGTTAAAGGAACATTCAAGAGTGCTAGCTTACAGCAACTTTACAAAAGGCCTAATCCACTTTGAAGTTGGAGGAGAAAAGGATTCTGGGACAGACTGTACTAGAACAAGTTTCCAGCGAAGACAGGGACCAGATAAAATAGTTTATGTAACAGAAATATACAGAAGCTTAAGCTGATAGAGAGGCAGATGGATAATAGGTGGTGAGTCAGATGATAAGCAAGCGGGTAGATGACAGATGAAAGATGATAGATAATAGAGGGTGACAGATGGCAGCCAGATGATGGGCAATCAGAGGCTCTAGGAAAAGCAATGAAAGAATGAAAATTCAGAGAAAAGATGAAGCCAACTAACATTTCACACAATTCTGATCAAGTAGAAGGTTTCTAATGCCTTGCTCTAAAAACTTCCTTGGAACTGAGTCCACCAAGAAACATAATCATATTATACTACCCATTTCTACAAGGAATGCTTACAAAATTATACCAATCTAAATTCCACACAGTGGCTTGCTATTTTTAAAAATGAACCCATGGGCAAAACCTATCACAGACTGTTTTCAACTAGCAAGTGTAGTTAGTAATTTCTAGTGATTGGAAAATAGAGGGGAAGTGGAGGAAAAGCTAGCCGAGTTTCTGCACTGATTTTACGAAACAAAGAGGAAGACTCTGTGATAAAATACAAAATGGAAGTGGAAGTACATTTTTCTGAGGTAAAGGAATTGAAAAAAGTGACAGAGCAGTACATGCCGGAGCAGGAGGGAAGAAACAGAAACAGAACTTGCACAAACAAATCGTGTATTAGAGCTGGAAACCAGCAGCTGAGGTTACCGCTCAGCGCAGTGAAGCCATGTGACGTTTTTACAGCTGTGGAGGTGACTGTCAGAAAAAATCAAAACCAAGAGAACAAAAGAAGGAGCCCTGGGAACGCAGGACTGCAGAGGAGGGAGGGGAGGAGACTACTCTTCAATAAGTGTCCTGCATGCTATTTCATTACTAAACTGTGCACATGTATTTCTTTCAAAAAGAATGAGATATAGTATCAGAAGAATATCCTTTTAATATGGCAAAAAATGTTAAGGTCTGCACCCAGAGAACAAAGGGACAGCTGCAGCCATACACCTTGCAGCTGTTTGCAATGCACAGGTGAAAAGAAAGCTCAGGTAATTTAAATATGTAGCCGGAGGGGAGTGGATGCAGGAACTCTGGTCGCTTCCTGAGGGCAGCTACAGTGACTCTGTCACCATGGAGATGTCTCCACAACGGCACCGGCAGGGACAGTCCCCACGAGCGATGTGGATGCTGTACTGATGCTGACCACACCCCAAACGCCTGCTGCCCACTGGCCACGCACAGGATCAAAGCACAAAATGGATGAGCGTGCACTACGCTTCGGCAGAGTTTGGAAGCGAACAGCTGCCTGTGCTTCTTATTATGAAAAGGAGGAGGCACGAATGCAAGATGTGAAGGCACCGCGTCTGCACAGCGGTAGCCCTCCCCCGGAGCCTGCGGTCACACACACACACATTCTAGTGAGCCACTCTGCCACTGAGCCACCCTGACCCTCACTATTCTGTCTGTATGTATTTACATTATCTAAAATATTGAAAGGTGAAAGAGTGTAGTGTGAAAAGAAGGATCCTGGGGAAGCTATATTATTTTGGATCACATATGGAGTCACTCTATGGCTATTACCAATGCCATGCATGTAGCAGGTTAAAAGAAGGGTTTCTTTGAGAAACATCTCAAAATAATGGCTTTTTAAAAATTTGGTGCATTTGATTTGCATGTTTAGTTTAGTAAATATTTCAATTTATTATATACCAAAGAAGGGCAATGATAGCTCAAAAAATGGAAGAAATTAGTATTAAAGTACATTTTAGAGACTGTGTGAGAGGTGTAGGAATTACAGGACCGACCAGAACACTTACATAAAAATCAGATTTCCTAAAAATGGGAATCTAGAAAGCAAATAAAAGAAAACATTTTATGTAAAAAGTATCACTTCCTTTAAAAACGACTGTGTTTAAGTCCACTTTCTTTGCCATCACAGAGAGCTCCCGAGCTCTGGCTGAGGGGTTACGCCTGTGCTCAGGGCAGGCCACTGAAGGCTTGTCACAAATGAGGCATGGACAAGATGTGGCCACCAGGGACACTGTGGCCTCCGAGTATCTGCTCTTATACAACACAGTTTACATGAAGACTAAATTTCATTTTTCCCAATTTTATAAGTAGAAAGTCAACCTTGTTACAAAAAGATTAATAAAGCAGTCACTAAGCTCTAGGGTCTTTTCTGAAAAATTCTATTATAGAACTAAGTTCAAAAGTTTTTTTATAGTTGCTTATTTTATTAGGTCTTCTAGCTTGAATGGGAGCATGTGAGCATTAGCTTTAGTGAACATGTGAACAGAAGCTTCAGTGGGCTGACTGCACGCATGTCTTCAGATTGCAGCATTTAAAAATAAGATTATTTATATAATTTTAAGTTTATTTAAATAATTATGGGTATTAAATAATACAGATCATTGATCTAAGCCTCTTGGCCAAGGACAATAAGTTTGTATCAGAAAGGACAGCCCAAAATCTCTCCTTCCTCAGGTTTGACTCTAACTCTAATGCTTACTTTATTGTGCATCATGACTAGGAGAAAGATAGGTATTATCAGCTCTCATATGCAAAAAGCAGCTACGAAGATGTTCAGACACTGCGTTTGCATAGTGGAATTCCCCTCCCTCCAGGTCACACACAGCGACCTAGTTACAAATCCTACACAGACTCATGATAAAATGAATAAAATAAAAACTCTTACAACTTGAAAAATGTTTAAAGATCTTGAAGCCCTATGGCATCTAAAATGCAATTATTTATTCTGGATTCAAAGTATTGAAAAAGTGACCTTCTGAAAGTTAAGTCCTTGCGCCCAGGAGCAATTCTTGGGGTTGGGAACGTCTTCCCAAAACAGCTTTTTCATTCTGCAAAGGATAAACAAGCATTAGAATCACATAAAAAATACATATTGAAAATATTAATCATTAATGAATATGCACTGCAGAAATTAGTAACCAGTTAACATCAGTAGGGTCAGATTCACATTTACATTCTGTCCCATGACAAGTTCCACTAAATTCCTCTCTAGATCCAAATTAATAAACAATATTATAAAATAGCCCACTTTTATCGAAGGCTGTGTAGCAGACACTGTTCTTCCTTCTGCATAGATTTTAGATAAAAAATAAAACACTAAAAATAGCCATCCTGTGTCAGAAACATGGCCCATGAACTCACACGACTAAAAAGAAAAGGCTTTACAACCTTCTCTTACTTCTTTTTGCCAGAAGACAAACATCTCTGCCGACAGGAACCTAGGAGATAGCAGCAAAACTCAGCCCAGAGAAAGAGAAGGTGGCTGGTGCATCCTGGGAACTCAGGGCCCTGGTGCATCCTGGGAACTCAGGGCCCTGGTGCATCCTGGGAACTCAGAGCCCTTTGTGAGCAAGCCAGGCCATGTGCTGCAGCTCCGCAGGAGCCAGCTCCTGCTGGTCAAAAATGAACTGGCTGTCCCAGGCTACCGCTAAAGGCCCACTTTGAAAGACTTGTGACCACTGGGAGAGTCCTCCACCACATCCAAGCACACCCTGCCCAGGGTTTCCTGTTGTGAGTACGTCACTCCTGAGCACACATAGAGGTGGGAAGTAAACTCTTCTTTGAGGCTTATGTTGGCAGAAGGGAAAGCCATCATAAAGGAAGAGCACACTCTCGTTTCCATGCTGCCTTAGTGTATAGGGCGTGGATATAAAAACATGGTAGTTCTATAATATTCATGCTTTGGGCATTTATTTTATCTAGATTTAAATATGCTTGGAGGCCTTTCCCATAAAGATTCCTAGCACCAAGAACAGTACCTTTGGCGTGATATTAACAGTGTCCCCAGCAGTAAGACGGAAGAAGAAATAATTATCGGCACAATTACGTAGAGACCTGCATCATTCGGGTGCCCTTCGTCAGCTGAAACAGAAATAACAATTCACACAGCTCCAGCTGAAGGAAACACTGATTTCCTTCCATATCAAACATCATAGGAGACTTCTTTCTGATTTCATGATTAATCAGAATTTTCTTCCAAACTATAAAAAAGAGGAAGATTAAAAGTATGTTATGTTCGGGGGCCCGCTCCTTAGCTCACTTCTTTAAGTGGCTGCTGCAACGAAGCAGTCAGGCTCAGGCTGCTGTGGTTCAATCCCCACAACTCAAGCCAGCCAAACCTGCCCTGAAGGCATTGGGAGCAAAAAAAAAAAAAAAAAAAGTATATTATGTTCATAGTAGTAAGATAATTATTTTGCTTAGAATTGTGCTTCAAATCTAACAAAACAGCTTTGCAAAATTGTTTGCCAAGTGCCTCCACCTGCTCGTTCTTAGACGCGATGGGACACAGCCCGATCCCATTTTTGAATCCCAGCCTCTGCTGCGGAAGACCCCGACGGGCCAAACTCCCAGTCCCCACCCTGCATCCTGCTGCGCGCGGTGAGCGCCGGCTCCCTCTCCAGGGCCCTTACGCTACCCTTTAGCCGGAAGTGCTCGCCCTTTTGTAGCAGGGCCTTGCTGCAACGGACCCACAAAACGGCATTTCTGGCCACCCTCATTAAATCTCCCGTCTTAATTCCATCTCTGGTCATGGCCTTACTCTCCCTTGCGGAGCTCACTTCTAGCTGAAATTACACTCCACATACGTTACTGCCCATGACTCCCGTTAGAACCTTGGATTTAAGTTCAGCAGGCCCAGGGAGACTTGTTCGCTCATCCAATGTCTAGTCCTTTGTGCAATGTTCAATAAACATTTATTGAAAAATATACAAATAAACAATGAAATTCTTTTTATTCTGTAACAAAGTCAGTTCGCTCTTGAGGCTACATTATTTGTCTTGATTGAATCTGAAGACAATTTAAAAACTAGTGTCAAAGTTTGGCTCTCCAGATGAAACGAGATGAATCAGAAATAATAAGAGGCCCAGCAGGTTTATAGTTTTATTTTTAGAAGAAGAAAATAGTTCTTTTTGATGTACCCTCTTATACATCTATGTGTATAAGCCTAGGAACTCTTCCACAATTCCATAAGAAATGTAATAATCCACTGGCAACATTACTTCTAACAAAGTAAGAAACACATATAGGTGTAAAAAGAAACTAAATGTAAAATGTTTACCTTTGGTGAAGCCATTGATTGTCTTTGGTTTCCCCACTCCTTCCGAAAATATTGGGTACAGACTAAACTGATACTTCTCAATGGGGATAAAATAATCTGTGGAGGAAAATGTAAGAAGAGCTCATTCATTTAACCACAACTCGGTGGAACCCGTGTATTAAAAAGTATGCCCACAGAAATCAGCTGTTGCTCATGGACCTATTGGTGACTGGGGGAGCTCCATCGCTGGAGCCTCCAAGTTTCCAGCAATGATAACAATTTTCCAAATAATTAGCCAAAAATCTAAGACAGATACAGAAGAGCATAATCCTTAAGTCCTGTTCCTCTTAGAGCTAGTCTGTTAAGTTCAGGCTGCGTGGGCTTGTGCCCCGCCCACATGTCCTCCCCCAGGACGGCGTCCCCTCCCTCCTCACCCTCCCGGCTGGTGGCGTCCCTTCTGTAGGAATGTGCTCATTACTCAGTCTCCCACTCAAGGTGTCAGCGAGGCTAAAGGCTCTACAAGTCCTGGCAAAGAAGACGCAGAAAGGAGTCCTCCTGCTGCACGGGAAGTGCTCCCCTGGGAGCAAAGCTCAAAACGTACCCGGCAAAGGCTTTTAGAAATCCTCATCCCTCAGGAACGCTGGTCCAGAGGCAGAGCTCCTGGCACCTAACTTCTGTGCCCCTGCCATAAAGCGAGTCAGACAGGCATGGCGTAGGCAACAGTGGTAATGACTCAGCCTGCTTCGGGACAATCCATAAGTAAGTTTACTGGATGCCCAATTCTAGGTCTCTGAGATGAAGTGAAGGCGCGAGCCCTGTGGATGATGTTGTGTAGTGAAGTCGTGGCAATCCTGAGCTTCCCCGCGGGTCCTGGGCACCCACCCTGACCTGAGGGGCTCTGTGACACACACGCGTGCTCTGTGCATGCTCACCCCCTGAGGCAACTGGTCTACCGCCTCGAGCCTCCACTGGCCTAAGTTGCCAGGTTCCAAATGCTCACACTTGGCCAAGCACTGCCATTCATTGCTAGTGACTTATAAGTGGTTGAAGAAACAATTTGGCCATGGGTGTTAGAAGCCATTGAAAACAGCTTTAAAAAGGTAAAGCTGGAAGAACATAAAAAATCTCAAATAGAAATGTTTAAGTAAATTTTTGTAATGTGATCTAATCATTTAAAATAATGGTAGAAAGGGCTGGGGAAAAATATTGGAGGTGATAAATGATTCAAACTGTATAAAATATGTCAAAAATGTCAAAATAAATAGAAAGAAATTTTCAATAAGGTAATGAGATTGTAAGTATGAACGTGGCAATATCATCCACATTTTTGGAGCCCTCGTTAACTGCTATGTAACTTGATTATCTGTAGCATCGTACTAGTTCATGAGGATGTCTTCACGTGCAGCAAACGTACCGTGGATATAATACTTCTTTACACTTGAAGGGATTCTAAGCCACTTAATTTCATCATCTTCATCAAGATTCTTCCACTCAATAATAAAATGCATCAGGCTGTAATCACCGGGCGACAGAATCCAGGAAAGAATCACACAGCTGCTGTTTAAAGGGTATGCACCGAGCGACTGCACGACGTTTACTACAGGGAAGAGGGAAATTTTAGTTCCAAGTTACTGGACGTTTGCTCACTCTCTTGAGGCTCACATAACCTACCAGACAAAGGGAGGAGGAAGAGACGGCAGACAGTTTATGGAGACACGACGCGTGGCAGTAACCTACACACTGAGAGTCGTGCGAACAGCTAGGTACAGGGATGGAGGACACGGGAGAGGAGAAGGGGCCTGCCCGCAACCCAAGGGAAGGTGCCCTCAGGCAGGCTGAACAGTTCTCGGCTGGAGTCCTGCCCTGGCTGTCAGCCCTTCTCTCCGATCCCCCCGAGCCCTGCTCTGGCGCTGACGGAGCCCTGGCCCGTGAGCACTGATGCGCTCATGTTAACGCATCCTGCACAGCGTCCTGGGGCGACATCCCCGCCCCTGCAGGCCCCGCAGCTGATGCTGCAGACCCCCCTCTCTACCCGCCGTGATTCTCCGCCCTGTAGCCTCACTGGCCCTCCTGACATCCTGTCCCATGCCCCAAGTGCTGCCCATCGGGCTGCTCCTTGGCCGGGAGCCAGCACACTTGCCCTACCCCCAACCTTCCAGGGAAACTGAATTCCAACTCACACTTCAGAGTATACTTGGCTCTATACCACATGCTCAGGGCAGCTTCTCTGACCCTCGATGCCACGTCAGGGTCCTTTTCCTTTCTTCCATAAAATTATTCCCTCCTGAGGTTATTTATCTCCGCTCATAGACACTCGCCATCTGATGACTTAGTGTCTGTGTCACCTCTTAGACTCCGAGTGGAGCCATCAGTATTAAGCTTCTCACAATATAATTTCAACCACTTAGTGGATTTAAGTGTAAGTGGAAGGGCAAAACATTACTGAGTAACCACAAGAAACTTGCCTTTTAGTTTAAAAGTAAGCATACTGTAAGGCAGGGTGCAGGCTATCCAAAAAAAGACAGAAATCACCCTGAGATTTAAGCAAGAGATAAGACATATGCATAGGTAGAAATTTCATGGAAGAAGTATACCTGGAAAGACCTTTATGAGTTGGTAGAGATACAGGAAATTTGTATTTTCCATTAAAAACATACTTTGAGTACATAATCCAGATTATAAACTCTTTGTGGAAATGGTTCTAAATTCTCTGATTAATAAAATATGTCAAATTTAGTGAAAAAAGGTTTACCACTCACATTAAATGAAGTCCACAGTAATTTTCAAGCCTCAGCAATTAGCCTGCATCTATATAGGTTGTCGTACTATTTTATAGGCATCATAACATTATTATTTAGTATGCTATATATAATAAATACTATGTATTTACAAGTGTAGAGCCATCTCCATTCACAAACTCAATTCTCTCCACCATTCTTGATCCAGACTGAACCAGGCAAGAACTGAATCAAATGTCCCCTGAGGTCAACCTCGAAGCTGACAGCTAGCTGAATGCTACCCAGTTCTCATCCAGTTCACTTTGGGACCAGAATTGTGGAAAGAATGGGGTTTGTGGACCAGTGCATCACAACTGGTGCCTCGGTTCATGAACTCAATCCTTTTCACAATTCTAGTTTCAAAATTCATTCCATGATTCATGTACAGGAAGAGAAATGTTGATCTACACCATCCATTGCTATAAAAGGTTAGAAATATTAAAATGTTCTCATTTATTATAAGACCATTTCAACAGTATTTTGCCACATAACCACAATCAGTGTGTAGTGTATTTTGCCTTTTTTTTTTTTTTTTTTGATACCAAGAAGAACTGAGGAGGCTGGGAACCCCAGGCTGCTGGGCAGGTACCCCCTAATGGGCAGGCCCTGCAGGGGCTAAACGCTGAGCTCGCTCCTGTGTCTCTGCTTACCTTCGCTCACGGGCCATGAGAAGGTGAGGTTAAAATTGGCAAGGGAAGCCCCGATGGAATTGATGGCCAGCACCGTGACCGTGTGCGCCGGCTCCGCCCACAGGAAGGTGAGCTGAGTCCGATCGCCCGCGTCTTCCGACCACGTCCCGTCGCGGGCAGTCTGATGCTTCACCACGTACCTCCTCACACTGCACAGAGAGTCACTTTTCATCAGAGGCTGTAGAAGACACAGTCACGGTTAATTTAAGGCCGCAGCGCAAGCTCCGGGGGCCCTTCCTGCACATCCCTTCGGAAGCCCAGCTCAAGGCGGCGAGCACCGCGTGTGTTGGCACCGAGGGGTGGGGAGGTGGGAGGCCGGAGGCCGCCGGGGACAGCCGGGTCTCCAGGCAGGAGTCTGGCAGTTGTGGGCCAGAGCAGCCTTAGTTAGTTGTCCCCTTTGGGCTGTTCACTGAGCCCGGAGAACAGAGGAAGAACAGCTGCGCCCACTGATGAGAACAGATAAGCTCACAGCTAGGACACTTTCCTGCCAAGAAGTGGCACTCTAATTTTAAAGAAACAAAGCCGGACGAGGAGTAGAGTTCCTTCACCCTAAAAAGCACTCAAGGCCTGACTCTCAGATTCTTGATGGAAGAAACGGAACATTTATGCAAAAACCCGTGATACAGATGCCATCATATAGAGAGGACACTCCCTTGTGATTTAGGTGCTCTTGGGGACAGAGGGCAAGGGACAGTCATGTTCTTTGGCAGTACTATGAATAACACCGGGTCCCCAAGGAACACTAGACATCATTTGACCTGATCTTACATTTACTCAGATGGAGCAAATGAGTCTAAGTGACTGTGCCAAAGTGCTAGTGACATCGCTATAACAGCCTAAGCCAAGAAGAGAAAGGCGGTCTTCTAGCTCCACGCTGATGTCCCAGCCACTACACCTCTTGGTTCTGCAATTCTGTCTCAGAAATGAATGAACATACAGACTGCAGAGTGCGCCAGATGGACGATGATGACAGGGTAAGAAGGAGGACGCAGCAGGTGATGAGGTAGTAGGTGGTGAGGTAGTAGGTGGTGAGGTAGTAGGTG